CTTGCGAGGGCCCCATGCTGCGAACGACTCCTTCTGCCTCCCAAAATCGCCATAGCCTTTCGCGACGTGCATGGGTGTCGAGAAAGAGAGAGAGAGAGAGAGAAAGAGAGATAGAAGAGAGTGTCCTCTCTCATTCTTTCATTCTTTCATTCTTACTTTCTTTCTTTTCTTTAAGCTTCGCACGCGCCCGCCCTTCGAAATCGGACACCGCGCACGTCCTCGTCCTTCGTCCTTCGTCCTTAGTCCTCGAATAACGTTGGCACATGTTAACAGGACTTTAAAGTTTTATTAATAAGGATAAATCAGAGACGCCCCGCGGATGAAGTTGTCGGGTGCCCACGGTCCGGGTTTAGCCTATAATTCGGCAGGGGGTTTTGTGCAAGCGACCGAGACCAAACGGCGACTATGGTGAAAGGTGGAGAGGGGTAAGAGAAAGGGGGCGGGACGGAGGAGAGAAGGTGCAGCGACATGCCGGTTTACGAGCATTGCCCACAATGTCGTGCCCCGTTGCAACGCGAGACGCGCAAAGATATTTATCGTCCTGTGCCCAGCACGTCGAACCTTTTCTCCTTCGTATTCCCCTCTCTCTCTCTCTCTCTCTCTCTCTTTCTCTCATTTTTTTATCTCATATGCAACCGATGCGGAAAGGTGGATCTCACGCATTCTTCGACTTAGCAAGTCAGTCCTGTAAATTCTCCGCTACTGTCATAAGTCGGGAGCTTAAAGGGTTAATTTGCGTGCGTTCACGTTGGAAACCCTTATCGGCTCGCATAGTAAACGAAAATTACTCCGTTCCAAACCGACACGTCCGTAATTTCGTTTTCTCCTCTTTACTTGGTTCAACCCAAACGAAGAAGGAACGAAGGAAAGAAGAAACGAAGAGGACGCGTCGAAGGAGAGCGGGGTAATTACGCAAGTCCGAGTATTATATCGGTGGCGACGAAATTCCAAGAAGTTGGAAGAACCGTAAAGATTTCAACGACCCCCTCCCTCTCCCTCTCCCTCTCCCCTTCCTCCCATTCCTCCCAGCTAGCCTTTGCCAGTGGCGTAGTCAGCCGCCAACTTCAACTCTCAACTTCATCGAAGTGAAAAACACTTGTTCAATTTTTCTCCCAATTAGCGAGAGAAACCAAAAAATTCGAATCCTATTAATGAAATCCTATGAACAATCATAATCCAAAGTTAAGAAATGAGAAAATTCTATAAGTCCCGAAGATGTCAGAATTGAGTTGAGACGACTAAAAGTCTACTGCTACTACTACTACTACTACTACTACTACTACTACTTCTCAGCAGCTCCGAGGCCCCATGGAATTATCCTCCTGTAAACACCTACCTAATTAAGATTGGAACATTTTAACGTCCTGTTCAGGTAGACTAATAAAGCCTCTAACGTACGGTCAGTTTGTTAGGCGCTTATGGGATCGTTTAATTAATATTGGCGTCCAAGCAAGCGCGCTTGGTTCCAACGAGCGACCACCTCCGGTGTCTTCTCGGCGTTGTCCTCAACCTCATCGTCATCTTCGTTCACGTCGTTGTCGTCCCGCATGCATAGGTACGATTCTCAACAGATACCTAACAGATACCTAACAGATACCTTTGATAATCTTTCATAAAAAATGAAAAATAAAAAAAATATAGAAAAAAGAAATGGCGACACAGGTACCAAGAGTTAACTAACCTTTTTATCCCTCAACTTTTCTCCCCACCCCCGTCACCTTGTTCTTCATTCTTTTCCTTAAGGGATTCTTCCTCTCTTGAAAGATTCGAAACCGAACTACGAGACGGCAGCCGAAAATTATCCCGGTTGGACCACCCAGTGTCGAGAGTAGTGTGCTGCCAGACCAATCTTCTGAACATGGACGACTAATCGAGCTACGGACTGACTCTCAGCTTCGACACGGTGGTGGGGCTAATTGCAGCTCACCACCTTCGGTACCTTCCTAACCCCTTTCGTACCTACCTACCTACCTACCTACCTACCTACCTACCTACCTACCTACCTACCTACCTACCTTCGAGAGGTCGACCTCTCTATTAAGAAACTTTTACGCAAGTGCATTTCGCACCGCACACCACACCATCCCACAGGTACAAGGTACCTGTACAACGTCACGTATTAAATTGACCGGTGCCAACGCTTACTTTTTTCTTCGATACGAATCTTTCCTCACTTTGCTCCTCCCTCTTCCACCCCTCCCTCTCTCCCTCCCTACCTTTCCTTGCGAGATATTTTTCAAATTACCCCCTTTTACCTACTCGTGTGTCGATACTTTTATCGTCTTTTATTTCCACCCATCTTTTGGATTATTCCTTTGGTAGATGTTATGGTTAACCCACGCTTACCTACCTAAATATATATATATANCGTAGATCGAGACAAACGATAATTCTTATTCCTTTTACGTATACGTTAGATAACTCAAGTCAATCTGTATATATATATATATATATATATATATAATATATGTATGTGTATCCTAAACGAAAAAGGAACTAAACGTTTCCCATTGGAGGAAGGATAAATACAGGATGATAATGCTTTTAAAGCAGACCGCCGCGGCACACTGGGCTTTTAATCTCGCTAATTTTCGCGCCTAATAAACGTCCGTTAATCGGATCGTCGAACCGTTTCCAAAAAGGAACGCGTGGAAAAGTAAACAGATTGTAAAGATCGTCATCCACCTTTTCACCCTTTTTCTTTTTTTTTTTTGCCCATTTTACAGCTTCCGCTATCGTCGTCGTCGTCGTCGTCGTCGTCGTCATCGTCATCGTCGTCATCGTCGTCGTCTTTCCAATGGTTGGCTTGCACTAAGAAAGTATGCAAGAGCTATAAGATACGACGAGAGTCCTCGAATATCTTTTGAGTTTATGGCTACGCCAAATTCCAACTTCTTCCACCCTCCTCCTCCCCCTCCCTCTCCCTCAGCCATCCCCCCTTCTCTTTTTTTACCAGCTTTTTCTTTTTTATTCTCTCTCTCTCTCTCTCTCTTTCGAATCTTTCTTGGCTCGGAGTAAAACTATTTTATAGGAGATGTTAGACAGAAATTCTTTATTGCCCCCTTCGCGACTTCTTTTCGTACGTAAAATTAAATTACACCTAAAAGCCCGTGTTCTACACGAGCCACGAGAACTTACGATCTCTTCTTCTTCTCCTTCTTCTTCTTCTTCTTCCATTTTTTATTTGATTTTATTTGATTTGATTTTTATTTTCTTTTTCGGTTGAAAATTTTTTTTATTCTTCGAAGCTATTAACACTCTCTCATCCAGAGAAACAAATAAATCCTCGTAATAGTTTGTTGAGAAACGCACGTACACACACACACACACACACACAAAACTTGTATATTTATTTATTTCTTTTTCTTCTTCTTCTTCTTTTTTTCCCCCTTCATTTAATTAACTATCATTTATCTATCATGGTTTTTCATTAGAAATCGTAATACTTAACTTAACTTAAACTTACCTTTTAATTTTCGATAATGGATAAATGGATAATCTTTGGTATGTTGGAAACAGGATAATTTTCTGAAATAACATAAATAAATGTTCAACTATCCATTTGTATTTCTTTTTCATGTTTTTTTTTTAAATATCTATGATTCGTTCATTCGAAATATACAGTAAACTGAGTTAAACTATCGCATGTAATCGTATGATTTAATAATTGATAACCAATTACTACTACTACGACAACGACGACAACGACGACGACGATGATTCAAGTTAACGTAATCTTATGTATGCATGAAACCTCGTATCAGTCTTATGTACAAAAGTAAAGAAGATTGATAAGAACGTAAAAATAAATTCAATTAATTTAATATTACGCTTGACTATTAACTAAAAATATAAAAAAAAAAAAAACAAAAAATAAAAAAACAAATTCTTTCACTAAGATATTTAATTGATAATATTATATACCCGGGTGAATCATATAAAACAAAACTATATCTGCAATTGTAATTTGTTTAGTTTTTTAACGAGACATCAACGTGTTATCATTTGACAAAACAATATTAATAATTGTAATTTATTAAATACAATATTTTACAAACTATACATATTTTATCATGTACAACCCATATGTGGATTGTACCAAGCACAACTTTTTATTATTTAAAAAAAAAATGATGAACATTGAATTATATTAGAGCTTACAATGAAATTTCATCGAAAATTTGTTACTTTTGATAGCTAATAACAATCGTGATATTAATGAGATTTGTTTTATGATTCATCCTGGTAAATTAAAAAAAAAAAAAAAATAAAAAAATATATAGTCTAGGTATATTCTATGTGCAAGTATAACTCGTATATATGCACTTATATTAAATACGAGTAGTAAGCATACCTATGCAAGAATGAATATGCTGGAGATACTTGGAAAGCTTTAAGTGAAAAAATTAACGACCTCTTTCATTAACGCTAATGGTAAGCTAAGAAGAATAAACGTTACCTTCTTCATCTCCTCTCTCTCTACGAGTCGATAATATAACTAATCGTACAAGACGACGTTGTTAAAAATAATTGCTTAAGGGTACGGTAGAATACGATAGAAAAACATCGATTATAATAATAGTACTTCCAAATTAAAATACTTAATAAAGACCGTGAGAAAATCTTTCTACTATTTACAATCTCGTTTTAAAACGTATTATATCGAATAAGTAATAGTTACGTTATGTAAAATAATTTTTTTTCTTTTTTTTTTTCTTCTATACTTAAACAAGGTATAAATGATACTAATAACGTTAATATTATATATATATATAAAATATAAAATATAAAATATAAAATCACAAAATGCTTGCTAATAAAACAGAGAAGGGGGGGATGATAATCTATCGTTCATTCGCGATAAGCGAAACCCAACGTGAACATATATAAATTTAATATCATTTACATCGATAATAATAATAATAATAATAATAATAATAATAATAAAAATAATATCAAAGTAAAATAAATGAAAATATTTGATATGAAACAAGAAGGTGGTGGAGGAGGAGGAGAATAATATCATTTAACGACAAGTATTGACGGTAGTTTTGACGAGACAAGTTTCACAAGTAACCTCGCAACAATATCTGAACCTACATTGACAATTGACCTTTTCCTTGACTATCCTTGTATCGTATCCTCTGCCGCAACATAAAAGTTCGCAACCTTCAACGCCAGGACTGGAAGAATTGCATCGTCTACCGACAGTACCGAGAGATCCCGTCTTACGATTGGGTTTGCAGAAATCCGGTGAGTCCTCGCTATAAATCAGATCGAATCTACCGGGTGGCTTGATGGTCGGACCCTCGGTGATGAAGCTGTGACCGTCGTTGCTGGGTATCACCTTGGCTGCACCATCGAACGACTCCTTCAGACGATTGCCGACCTCGCGAAAGGACGGCATCTTTCGCCAACAGGTGCGCACGCTGCACGAGCCCGACAGCCCATGGCACTTGCACTCGATCGTCATGAAATTCCTCACCGCCTGTGTTTGTGTATTTTGTCAAATCGTTTTTTTTTTTCCCTTATTTTGTTCAAACACGTGTCACACTTTAACAAACTTCACTTACCAAACGTCCAGCAGCATTGTTGTGAAGTTTAACCAACGTTTTGATGTCACTGCGTTTTCTGTAAGGCGCATCCATGAAATCCTTAGACTTACGAAAACCAAAATTGACGTTGTCACCACAACCACCCCATTCCCATTCACCCTCTGTCAAAAGATTTTTCTTAACGTCAGCTGTAAGCGCGAGTTTGCCCAATCGATTATTACCTGTAAATGAAGATTATTCGAGAAACTTAGGGTTTAACTAGAATCACGATAAACTATCTTCCTTTATAGATACTTTAATGAGGGTAAGGTAAGGGGATAGGCTTAGGGCGCGCGTTAGGGTTTTGCTACTAAATAAATATAAATCGTTTTACCATGGAATACAGGAGAAGAGGAGTAGGAGGAATGAATTTTATCTGTGGGACAAGCTTTTACCCTTCGTCGTCATCTTATCGCATGAACATTCCACAAGGTCACCCATGGTACAGGCCCTGGTAACCGCATAAGTAACTCCAGCGGCGGTGATGGCGTTCACGAAGCCAGTCTCCCTGGTATCTGAAAGCATCGAAGGGGGGAATCCAGAATCAATTAATGGACTCTTGTTAAGGGAGCGAAATCCTCGACGTAAATCACTGATCGAAACGGAAAAGAAGAAGAGACGCGTGTCTCTGCGTGCGTGCGTGCGTGCGTGCATGCATGCATGCATGCATGCGTACGTGCGTGCGTGTCTCTGCATGCGTGCATACGTGCATACGTCGAAAAAGAAGAAGCTTTAAAAAACGGTCAGAACGGCTCTACGCGAATACTCAAGGAGGGATCGAAGAGAATGCCGTGAGATAAAAGTAAAAGAGGGACGAGGTAGAACTCGTCGTCGAGCTTCCACTCTTGTAGGCGGAAGAAACAGGTTGAAAAGGAGGAGAAGGTCGCGGAATCTTGGATCGGCCCAAGAAACAAATCGGATTACGCGTCGTCCACCTCCTCATCCTCTCTCGGAGTGCACATAAATACGAAAGATCGCTACCCTGCATGCTGCATTTGGCCTCTTCCCCCTTCCCTCCCTTCGATCCTACTCACGCGGGGTGAATCGATTAATTAGCTTGCTTGCTTACTTGCTTTGCTTGCTTTCCAACTTTGAAATATGCCGTAGAAGAAGAAGAAGAGAATCGTAGATCGAGACAAACGATAATTCTTATTCCTTTTACGTATACGTTAGATAACTCAAGTCAATCTGTATATATATATATATATATACAGCTAATACTTTAAATACACATCGTGTATTATCCTATCGCGATACGACTCGTCACAGTGAATTGTCTAATCTATTAAACGAATATTCGGCTAATTAGCATTAGCTTCGAATAAGAATCGAAAGACAATAAATAAATAAATAAATACAAAAAAAAATGGGATGTTAAGGAATCGAGTAAAGGAAAGGAAAGGAAACACGTTCGAATTGGTCAAAAATTCTCGGAATGTCTTCTCTTGGTAGAGTATCCTCCACCTTACCTCACCTCACCTCACCTCACCCCACCCCCGTTGGATTATATCCCGAAGGATGGTTCGAAACCGTGGCGATAAGACTAATTACGGCGGTAAATCGGTAAAGGTTCAGAACGAAATATCGGAGGAGGCGCTTATTTCGTATCCAACAACCCAACGAATCTGCCTTTCCGGCAGACTGCACGGGGGAATTTCGATATCGAGTTGCCGATTTCTCAGGTGGTTCTGTAGACCCCACCGCGGGTTCAATGTCGAATAAGGTCTTCTTCTCACAGCATAGTATATATATATATAATATATATATACATATATATATGTATATGTATAGTTTGTTCAGGCTCCCACGCGAATAGACCACTGAAAGAACGAGCTTGCTTGCTTGCTTGCTAACGAAATATCCTATTCCGTTTCACCTGTCACGTCACCACTCCATCATTAAATGAACAATGAGAGATTGAGCTCCAAGTAGTTGCACCCCTTTTTCTTCTTCTTTTTTTTTTTTTTATTAAAAGAACCAGGATCACATTTTGCCTCCACCACCGGTGGGCGTTCGTTCGAACGCGTCCTATTCTCCCAATCTTTTCTTTCTCATATATTCTCTCACTCTCTCTCTCCCTCTCTCTCTCACTCTCTTTTCTTATTTTCATTGCTATACATTTAACAGCAATAAGAAGCATCCGGAGGGTTGCTCTTGCGAATCTCCGCGACGCCCACTTCTTTTTTCAACTCTTTTTAACAGGGATCCGCGTAGAGATCCCTTTTTCTATCTCACTTTCCTTCTTTATTCCTTCTGATGGTGATGGTGGTGATGATGATGGTGGTGGTGGTGGTRAAAAGGCATGCAAGAAAGGGAGAAAGAAGAACTCTTCTATACCCAAGTTTTGCTCTTTTCATCGATCTCAACTCTCACCGTCCCATTACTTCGACGATTCTCACGCAAGAATCTTCGCAAGAGAAGCTGCTAAATATCGCGGCATGGATCGAAAAGAATCAGAATGAAAAATACAAAATAAAAAGAAGAAGGAAGAGGGAAGAGAAAGATCGATAATGATCTTAACAGTGGATTGTTTCAAAGCGTAGGTGTGTCCAGAATCATTCGATCGACTATCCAATTGACGACGAGCTGTGATGATCGAGAATTTCAATTCAATGAGAGGGAGAGATATCTGCCATATACTTGCGCTCGAGTTCTATCTCGAACGTATGTGTGGCCAAGAAAAAAAAAAAAGAGAGTGGGAGGGGGTGGGCGAGGGGGAAAGGAAGGAAAGGAAAGGAAAGGAAAGGAAAGGAAAAAAAAAGGAGTCGTACGCGTTAAGCTTGATTCTTCGTGGTTCCCATGGATTCCAGGCGGGTATCTACGGTGCGGATCGATGGCGGGACGGACGGGACGGACACGAACGGACGGACGGACGGACGGACGGACGAACGAATGGAGCTAAGACATAGGCCGAAGGAAGCTGCCACCGCCCGCGTATCTTCTGATGCATCGCCTCACCTTTCAGTGCGTATTTAAACGATACGATAGTTTTATACGAGCGATCTGATATCGAGGTTCGAGAGCGAAAGGTCCATTCCCTACCCTTTTCCCTTTCCCTTCGACCATCTTCAAAGTCTCAACTCCTTACGACTACCTCGATTCTCGAATCACGTCTACCTTTTAACATGACGGAAGCAACCGTTCCTCCAACACACACACATACACACAGTCAGACAGTCACCCACCCTCTCAGAAGGGGGACAGATTTCTCGATTATTTATCCAAATTCTTAAGTTATTTATTTCGATAAACTTGCAACTCTTTAAAGGAATGAAAAAAAGTGTTGTGAAGTAGCGGAATTTAACGAAAGATAATTAAAAGGTGCACACTCGGTTTAAAAGAACTTCCCGGTGCACCTTAAGGGATATCGAACTAAGATCGTTCGAAAAGTTTAAAACCCGATGATCAAAGAAAGAAAGAAAGAAAGAAAGAAGGAAAGAGAGAGAGAGAGAAACAACATTTAATTCCCAAGTAACATGCCTGGAATTATCATAACATCTCGAATGGTAGAAACGAGTAGAGTTCCATATACACGCGTGCACGAGTACGACGTAAGAAAGTCGTTTCGTTCACCCATCGAGAAATTTTGTTTGGTTCTTTTTGTTTTTTTTTTCTCCATACGGGTTGATCTTACGAGACACGCACGTCCGTCTCCTTCTTTTCTTTCGTTGTTCTTCCTTCCTTCCTTCCTTCTTTCCTTTCTTTCCTTCGTTCGTATGTTCGTACGTTCGTTCGTTCGTTCGTTGTGGTCCCAAGCGAATGGGGGTTTCAAACAGAAAAGGAGAATGGAAAGAGATCGAGAGAATGCACCTTCCTCGAGGTGTAGAGGTGCACCAGGTAATATAAATCACTTCGAATCAATTAGACACTAGGGATCGCGAGCCGATGATCTTGCACTGCCCCTCTCTCTCTCTCTCTCTCTCTCTCTCTCTGTCTTTCTTTCTTTCATTCTTTCTTTCTATCTCTATCTATCTTTCTTTCTTTGCCAGGTGCAGGTTCTGTCTTTTCCACCATGTCCCTCTCCTCTTCTACCTCACCTCTATCTTCGGTCCCTTCTTCTTCTTCTTCTTCATGTTCTTTCGTTCTTCTCTCTTTTCCACCAACTCGTTCCGACGGCTTGGCCAATTATCAACATTCCGGGGCATTATCCTCCAAGCGAGACTTACGCCGTGTTTAATTGCGAGTCTTCTCATCTTTCTTTTCTATATGTTTAATTTTTTTATTTTTTTTTTTTTTTATTTTGTATTTTAAAGGATCGTACATTTTATCCTTTGCAACACACGGAAGAATAATCTGTTCGATAAAAAAAAAAATAAGATGATGATGATGATGATGATAATGATCTAAATAATGGAGTATACAATATTCGAATACAAATAATCAACACAGGTGACAAAATGTTCGATAACGTTACATAAATTTGCCACACCTGTTACTTGTACAAAAAAAAGAAGAACAAGGAAAGAAAAAGATCTCAAGAAAATGATTCGCACATATTTCAATGTATTTTTTTTTTTTACAATAATTTAAATCCATCCTTTTTTGTTTCAAGAAAAAGAAGAAGGATGATAAAAGTAAAAAGAAAAAAAAGGAAACATTTTATCGAGGTTCCCGTAAGAAAAATCTACGATCGTTCTTTTGAACGAGAAGACGTCAGAAGGAAGGAAGGAAGGAAGGAAAGAAGGTTTGGTTTGGTTTTCGTCCTTGTAGCTAGCTATAGCTAGCTAAGTTACTAACTATAGTTAGCTAGGTTGCTAGCAGGTCCGATCTTCTCGTCGATCGTACACACCACACCATTTATGGTGGAAAAGAAATTATAGCGACGACTACTACTATTCGCGACTTACTACACGCCGCTGCTAACTTCAATGTTATCCACGACGATTACCTTCGTTCTCTCTTTCTTTCTTTCTTTCATTCTTTCTATATTCTTTCTTTCACCCTCAGTGTATATCGCAATAAGCACACGCTGACATATGCATAAATATCCGCGGTGAATCCTTTATCGATGCGTTAGACTGCAAAGAAGACTGCTCTGGCAAAGCAAGAAACGTGGAATGCAAATTCCACATCAATGAGAAAGAGAGAGAGAGAGAGAATATGTAAAAAAAAAAATGAAAGAAAATAAAACGAGGCAAATCGATCCCCTTCACTCCTTCCCCTTTAGTTTGATCAAACGTTGTTAATTCGTTCAACTGACTAATTTATGCGATTTAAAACATATATATATATAAATAACGTTATATGCATGTGTGTATGTATAACAGGAATATTATATGTAATAAATAAAAAGTAGGATATTAATGTTCTAATTTCAGCATTTCTTTTTACTCTAATGCAGGGGTCGGCAACCTTTTGAATCGGAAGAGCCAAACATTACAATTAACAAAATTTCAAAGTTTTTTTAAAGAGTCACCAAATTTTTTTCTTGCCAACAATAAATAGTACTCGCATAAATAAAATTAGTTTTTTGATAAAAAAAAAGATCTAATCTATTTATTCATCGGTGCCTAAT